GAACATGGCCTCAGCATTTGTCCATTTTAGTTCCCTGCTCCTAATGTGTGCCAGGCTCTGTTCTGCCTCCCCACCCACTTTCCATTAGCTAGAAGAAATTTCCTAAAGCACATTTCTGACTGTGTCCCATACTCCTCTGCTTTAGAAACCCCAAGCAGAAGGTCAGGGGTGAGGGGTGGGGAGTGTTGTCCCAACATAAAGTCCATGCCCCTCAGCCCTCCATTCAAGTCCCCAGAGGCCCACCCCACACTCTCCCGTGTTGCCCACATTCCCTCTGCACCTGCTCTGATATGAACACCTTGGTTAAGAGCCCCTGGAGCCAAGTGGCCCAGGCTGAATCCTATCCTGCCACTTGCTGGCTGGGTGGCCCTGAACAAGTTACATTTAGCTAACAGCTTCCTCATCTGTAAAATGGGGTCATAACAGAAGTATCTTCCTTAGAGGGCTGCTGTGAGCACTAAATAAGATTATTCACAGGAAGTGCTTCCCCATAACGCCTATAACTTGGTAAGTGCTCACAGGCACCAGCTGGTGGTGGTGGTAGCAGGAACTGTATGAAACCGCTTTCACTGGCACCCGGTGCCCACCTCTGCCTTCGTTTCCCACCTCCCTCCCTGCGCTCCCGCTACTCTCTCCGCTCCATCACCCTCAGCTCTGTTGTCTGGCCCTCAACTCCAACACATTACCTCGTCACCTCCACCCACTCTGGATAGCCATCCCTCTTCAGGCCTGCCACTATGATCTGGTTGGGAATGAGTGTCCCTGCCAGCAGAAGGTGACACCTTTGACTGTCCACCGTGTATCCTGAGAGCCTGGTGCGGGGCCTGGCAGAGGGTAGGTGCTCAGTAGGTGTTTGACATGTTGAGGCAAAGTCACACTTCCATGGACTGGTGCAGAGCTAGGCAGAGATGGACTCCAGTTACACATAGGTGCTGGTGAGGGTCACTGACAAGCAATTGCCCACGATGGCAGTGGCTTTGTCTGGCTTGTTCAGTGCTGTCTCCCCAGGGCCTGGAACAGAGCCTGGCACGGGTTTGAAGCTCTAGTATTTGTCAAATAGATGAAGACAGGCAGTGACTGGGGGGCTACTGTTTTAGATGAGGTAGCCAGGCTGAGGTGTGGGTCACAATAAAGAGCCAAGGTTGTAGAAAGAAGAAGAGGGGATTGTATGGTCATGGGCTTGGAGTGTCTGGGGCTCAGCAGGCACCAGTGCGGCCTGCAAGGAGAAGACACTGGCCTGGCTGAAGGGGGAGGGTGGACCAGAGAGGCATTTGTCCTGGAGCAACTGGTAGCAGCTTGGAGAAGGGAGAGGTTCTGCCAAGAGACTGCTATCTTGGACTCCAGGTGTGACACCACTGGTCTAGTCCCTGAGCCACCCCTCCTTCACTTCTGGTGTTTGCAGGCCCTGGGCTGAGCTGGGGAGGGAGCTGGCCCCTGACAGGCAATCTCCAGGCATTTCCTGGAAGCAGTGAGGACTGAGGACTGAAGACAGGATAATAAGAGCTAATACTGAGCTTTCACTGTGCTGGGCACCAGTCTAAGTGCTTCACAATTACTAGCTCATTTAAACCTCCCCGCAACCCTATGAGGAAGAGACTCTGGGAATCCCCAGGCAGCCTTAATAGGGCTGAAGAGCTGGCCGAGGTTATAGGCAGCCTGGCTCCAGAAGTTCAGTTTGTAACTACCAAGCCCACTATACCTCCTCTGAGACCTAGATGGGAGTTACCTTTGAGTCCAAACCCTCATTTAACAGGTGGGGAAACTGAGGCTGGCAGAGGAAAGGTTTGACCCAGGATGCAGAGGTCATAGCATCCAGGTCTCCTGGCTCCCAGGCCAGTGCTCTAGCCACTCTGAGGGTGCTGGGACTCAGCTGGTGCCCAGCCACCCTGAATGACATGATGGAGTGCAGTGGTCTTTACTTTGATTCCCCACAATAAAATAGTTTGTACATGTCCGTGTTACACACGCTCACATACATGCATATGCATGGGGAGGAAGAGGAGGGCAAGGAGAAGGGCCTTTTGCTCCTGACTCTCGGCCACATGGGGACCATGGTCATTTTACCTTGGAGGATGGAGGGAGCAAGGTGGGGCCAGTCTCTCCTCCAGTCCCTTAGTTTAACAGGCTCCCCTCACCTACTTCCATCCCTCCCTCCAGATCCTCTCCTCCCAACTCTCCTGCTGGGAGTTACTCTGGCCCAGGGCAGTGGGGAGTCTTGAATATTTAATTGCCTTTCGCACCAAGAAGCTGATGGGCTGGCCGCCACCTCAGCAGGTCCGGGGGAAGGAACAAAGAAAGGATTGGGATGGAGGAGAGGGAGTAGAGAACGAAAAGCCTCAGAAAGGGAGCTCATCTGTCAGGCCAGAGGTGAGCCCAGGCCTGGGTGGAGATGGAGCAGCTCCAAGTCTGAGGCCCAGCGGCAGTTTAAGGCTGGGGGAGTCCCAGAGGCAAACCCTCCAGTGCACAGACCCCAGGGAGGGCGAGTGGAAAGCAGCATTCAGCAGCATTCAGCAACAGCCCCTGGCATTGCCAGGGCACTGGAGGTGGCAGGGGTGAATGAGGTGAGCAGGGGAGGGGGAGGAGGAAAGGGAAGGAAGGTAGGAATGAGGAGAGGGCAGAGGAGGGGAAGTTGGGAGGCCCTATGCCCTTCCACACTCAGGAGCCCCTCAAGGTCATGCACACCAATGTGAGTTATGAAAACTGCACACATGTTACAGGCTTCAGGCGCTTCTGTCTCCATCTCTCCTCCATGTTCCTCCATGTTCTTTTGCTCACTGACTCCTGCACCGAATCCAGCTGGGAAACAGCCTTTCCACCCCATTGTATGCTGGGAACTCTGCCCTGCCTGGTCATCTTTCTCCAATCCACACAATAGGAAGGCTGCAGGGTGTAAATGCTGGCACAGGCAGGTGTGTGCATGCACCCTGGTGTGTACTGTGGCTGAGTGTGTGTGTTATACATTTGATTTCCATGCACATCTGTGCAGAGTGAGATCCCTTATTTATGCACCTTAAAAGCATTGTGTGTCACCTGTGCTGGGGGACACAGGTGCACAGTACAGTGACTGAGAGCAGGGAGTTAGACAGTCTGGAGTCCCAGCTCTGACACTAACTTGCCATCTGATCTTTAAAGCAAGTCAGTCCAGCATTCAGTGTCCTAGGCTCCTTGTCTGTAAAATGGGCACACTTCTTAGCATTATTGTGAGGATTCAGTGAGACAGTATGTGTGAGAGGGGGGTGCTAGCCTAGTACCTGGCATGAGACAGCACTTAATAAGACCACAACATACACACACACACTTAAGTCCCCAAGGAACTCCTGCCTCCTCCCCACCCCAAGTGCCAGGTGGCCTTGGCTAGATAGAGCCAAACAGAACTTACCAAAAACCTCATCAGCAGGTTCTCGGAGCTTTGAAGAAGCCATGACTCAAGAGAGCTGGAGAGAGAGAGAAAAAGACCGTGAGTAAGCGGTTTAGATTGGTGGAGGCCAGGGAGGTGCCAATGGCTACCTGCTCCTGGCTTCTGGCACCGCACTTTCCCTCAGAACTCTTCCTCTGGCCCCTGGAAGAGAAGTTATCTGAACTGTAGCCCAGATTGTGATGGATGGGGCAGGAGGCAGAAGCAGGTCCAGGGTGTATACACAGGCTGAGTCCTGCGGTCATGGTCCCCGCTGATTTGCTGTGTGCCTCCATCCAGGTCACTGAACTTTTCTTGGGCCTTCACTCTCTTGGGCCTTTCCATCATTAGCCTTCCTGAAAAACTTTTAATCATCATAAATTGTCCAACTGAAAATCTGGGAGAAATCTTGGAGATGATTAAATCCAGTCCTCACATTTTACAAATAAAGAAACCAGAGAATAACCTAAGATCACATAACAATTTAATGGCAATATCAGGACCAGAACTCAAGTTCTTCTATCTATCCATCCGTCTGCCTCCCTATTTATCCATCCATTTACTTGCACATCCATACATCCATCCATCCATCCATCCATCCATCCATCCATCCATCCATCCATCTTTGCATCCATCAGTTCATACCATCCACCCATCCATTTTCCCACCCATCACCCAGTCCTGCCTCCTCTACCCCCATCACTGGTGCGCTCACCACCTGCTTTCCTGAACACGAGCTGTTCAGGAAGCTGAATCCATTAGCAGCAGAGCCACTGTTCTGGACAAACTCACAGTTCTAGACAAACTCACAGATGCCATAGGGTATGAGTACTCACAGCACAACAGTGGACAGCCAAACCTATGATGCATCAAGCATGTTCTGGGAAAAAGTGTGGATGGGTGGGGGGTTGTTTTTGTGTTTTGGTGGGAAGCAAGGAGGGAAGTTGGGGAGCAGGGTATATGCAGCTGAAACAATTGAGGCAGGCTTCCTAGCAGATAGAGGATTGCAGCAGCCAAAACCAAGATCTGGGTGTCAGAGTGGCAGAGGAGTACTGGATGAAGGGAGAGTGAGGAAGCTCAGGGGCGGGGGCACACTGCATTGCTGGGACATGATCCCCACTTACTTCCAACACTCAGGTCTGCATGAGAAGGGCAGGTCACTGGGCTAGACCATGTATTTGGTAGGTGTAAGAAAGCTAGGGCACATGCCTGCTGGGGTCTTTTCCAACTGTCCTGTTATTACATAGACATTATCTCACAGATAGCCAGGCTTGGGATTCTTAATATCCCCACTTTACAGATGGGAAAACTGAGATGCAAGAGATAATTGGCAGAACTCAACCTTGACCCTGGTCTCCTGCCCCCCAGCCCTATCCTGGGTGATGATCTGCATTTTTGGAGGGTGTTCATGAGGAAAGGACACTGAGGGGAGGAAGGTAGAGGGAAGGTAGCTGGCCCATACTGGCTAGAACTGGGAGAAGCAGGCTTTATGGATGCTTGAGGCTGAAAACAGGAAATGAGGTAACAGAAGGGACATGGGCCCTCCAAGAACCCTCTGCCATTCTTGAACTCTGGGTGCCAGTAGCAAAGAAGTTTTAGGACCTCTCTTCCTGCCCTGAAGAACCAGATGGGAAGGGAGTCTGCCCCTAAGAATAAACCAGATTTCCTCATTCACTCACAAAGCTTCATCTGACCAGGACTCAGCTGCCACCTCCTCCAGAAAGCTGTCCTAGATAGCCCTCCCTCCTCCCATTTGTCTACATGATTTCTAAATCCACCCTTCTGCAACCACTGGGAAATGAGGAATTTTTCATACTTCATCGATTCCCTAACTGGGTCATATCTCCCCTGCATCAGAATGGAAGCTCCCTGAGGAGGGGCAGTATTCCCCACCAGACTAGGGGACTCTCTGAAGAGAACGGAGCCCTGGGTGGTGTGGCTCAGTTGGTTGGAGCGTTGTGCTGTGCACCGAAAGGTCATAGGTTCAATTCCTGATCAGGGCACATATCCAGGTTTCAGACTCAATCCCTGGCCCGGTGCCTACCGGAGGCAACCAATTGATGTTTCTTTCTCTCTCTCCCTTCCTCTCTCTCTAAAATCAATAAGCAAACAAACATATCCTTGAGTGTGGATTAAAAAAGAAAGGGAAAAAATTTTGTTTTTAAATATAAGAATGGAGGCTCCCCGAAGGCAGCTGTGGTGCCACCTCTCTTAGACTACCTGACATGGAGATCCCATGTGTTCTTCATTCAAGGTCCCAGGCCAGGGTGGAGATCCTCTGGTGAAAGTTCTCTTTCAAGCACCGTCTGCTTCCAGCTCACACCTGCGCCCCATCCATCCTGATTCAGCACAAACTGTTTTCTTTTCCTTCCTTCAACAACGAACGCCCTGGGGTGTGTATGGGGGACCCTCCTTGCTCTGGGAAGCAGGACATCCAG